AACAAACGGCGTCAATGAACCGTCAAGCAATTTCTCAACATGACAAGTTTCTCCACATAAAATTACCAAAACCTTTGGACATCTTATCATCTACAGTGCAGAATATCACCAACAAATTCAGAGAATCTGAAGGAATCTCTGTGCACAGGGCTCCTCAGTGCTACTTGAGGTCACTGTTTTGAGCATTCAGACAGCACAAACTCGACTTTTTCATGGAAATCACTGCACGGACTGACCCACGGGTGAAGAAGGAAAGGGAGCATTGGGCTTCATATCAGACCTCTGCGGGAAAGTCTGTATCTCTGATCGTGTGGGGATGTTTGAATGTAATCGGCAGCTTGCACATGTGGGAAGGAAAAAGTCAGTGTTGAAACACGTATGCAGGTTTTGGAGCAAGCTGTCCAGATGTATTTCTCAGGAAAGGCTCTGCATATTTCAGCTAAACAATGCCAAACTGCTTCTATTACGACAGTGAATTTGTAGTAGAAGAGTCCAATGGTGAATTGTCCTTCTTGCAGAACTTTGAGCAGCAGGAATCCTCTATGGGACAAGAACGAGACCACATTCCTCTCCTAAAAGTCCACCAGCACCAGTCCTCAGTTCCCGCATGTTTACAGACTGTTGTCCAACTTTATTCAAATGTAAAAAGACTTTTGTTTTCTTTAAAAAGTACATATTTCAGTTTGCACATTGTTTTCTTTGTTCTATTGTGAACAGAACATTTTATTATGTTATTAGGGATTAATGAAGTATTCTGATTGTGAAAAATATAAAGTTATGAAATCTGAAAATCACTGCAAGCGTTTGGTGCATGGTGTGTAAAATATAGAAAAGAGCTAATGGTGAGAACATGAGAAGTAAAACCGAAATAAAAAAAATGAGGTGTTTCTTTCTCTCAGTCCAGGGGTGAGAAACTGAAACTGGACAGCAGCAGAGCTTCTTCTTCTTCTTCTTCAGCATGCTGATGTGCAGTTCAAGCACACGGGTATTTGGTCGTAAAGTGAAGCTTTGAAAGTACTGACAGTATTAACATGCAACCTAATCAAACATGGGTGTTTGAGCCAACACACATGTTGTAAAAACCCCAAGCACCCTGTTGTGGAACCATCAGAGGAACATCAAAGACTTCTGAGATTATATAACAGGAAACTTTGCGTACCTCGTTTGCCGTTTGATTCCTTTCGGTGGTTTGCTGCTGTTCTTTTCACTGATGAGTGGGAGGCAGCAGCTGCAGGATCTCTCTCTGCAAATACCAAAGATTTCCCTCTGATAACACAACGGTTACTGCTGCTTCGGCATGTTAATATCTATAAAGCATTGTGTTTTTAATGAAGCTGAAATAAAACAGTAACTCTTTCAAAAATCTTTCTGAACGCAGAAAAAAAATGTCTATTTTTTTACAGTCAGATAGCTGGATGGCAGCAGAGCTTCTGCTCTCATCGAGTCTCTTTGACCATAAAGTCTGAAAACACAAACTAATCATAAATATTAAAATATGAGAATATATTTCAAATATGATGATTATCATAAATTATCTCAATCAGTTTGACTATAAGTAGCTTAGACTTTACTTAAAAATGTGAAGGTCTATGGCTCAACAACTCACAAATATAAAAATGTAAAATTAACACATCCTGTGCACCATGTGACCATTTTTAAAGGAACATAATCACACCTACATGTGTTTGGTCTCCAGTGCTGCTTATCCACTTAGATTCGTGTGAATTGGTCACACTTGGAGATCAAGTGAACTTTCCCTTTAAACTATTTAACATGTTCACATTAAGTGTGAGCAGAATGTGTGTCTCACCTTCAGCTTTCCTCCGGGCATGTCGCCTCACCAGTACAACCAGTACAACCAGCAGCAGCAGCCCAAATATGAAGGGAACAGAAACCAGCACAGAGAAAGGAGGAGAGGAGCGCTCATGAGGAGGAGGAGTAGAGGAAAACGAAGAGGAGAAAGAGGCAGTGGAAGCTGATGGAGGAGGAGAGGTGGAAGAACCTGGAATTAATTTGAAAAATAAATCTTTGTGGTCCCTTTGAGTCAATTTTGGTCTAAAATCTGTAAAAGAAACAGAAGCCTCACCTGTGACAGTGATCCAGCTGGATGGAGACTCTCCATGACCGCTGATGTCACACTTGTAGAGGCCTTCATCAGACCTGGAAACATGCTGGATGGTCATGTTAACTGAAGACCCATTGCTGATGAGGGAGCCATCTTTATAGAAAGCAGCTGGGAGGTTGGAGGGAGTGGTCTTTGTTTGACAGAGCAGAGTGACGTCATCTCCCTCCATCACAGGGAGGACAGGACTCTGCAGGATCACTGATCCACCTCAACACAGAGACAAACTACAGCATTTCATCCATTTACACACAGCTTCATCAACACTAACTCCACACACTCAGCTTACCAGTGACTGTCAGGTTAACCATGTTACTGATGGGACCCTCTCTGGACTCACACCAGTAAACTCCACTGTCCAACAGGACAATACTGCTTGTGGTACAAGAAGAGACAGTTAATTGTCCCCACTCCTCACACTCAGCTCTGGTGTCTCTGCTTGTGTTTCTCCTCAGGGTCCATCCAGCAGAGCTGTCGTCCTCCTCACAGCTCAGAGTCACATAGTCTCCATCAAAGAACTGAGAGCTGCTGGGACTCACAGTCAGACGAGCTGTGGGAAAAACATAAACATTTTTTTCTTTTTTTTCACATAGAGAGAGACCATATCTCTGTTAAAAAAAGAGGATCCACAAGTGCAGCTTCTGCAACAGCTTTTTGATCAGATGCCAAAAGCCTTCCCTTTCAATCTTGCTGCTATCCTTCTTGATGAATCTCATTTCCATCCTGATATACTAGTAGATGTTAAAAGGCACTGGCAGGTAGATCTTGTTAAATAAAATATAACGTAACAGTTTATTAAATTCCAAATCCTAAATCTGGTGCAATACAGTAAAACAACAATAAACAGAACAGCTGCACTCAGTAAACTTTCTTCTTAGTATTGTTTTTCTGTGAGTGCTGCTGTTCTGTTTACTTAGACCTGATGGCTGACATGTTGAACTAACCAGCTGTGCAGATGTTCATGTAGTGGTCAAACACTGTGGGTTTTACATAAGTGTCCTATGTGCCTCTTCATCGTCTCTTTAAAGCAAAATGTTTTAGCTCCTCTCACTCAACACCAACCTTCTTCCCCCTCAAACAGGTGTGAACAGCACTGTGGGGCTTTTTTGCTCACACATTAAAATATAAGGGATAAACCTCATCATACACAACCAACAGCAGAAAAAAGACTCAATTCAATTTGAAATTTTGAGCATGTTTGATGGGAAAAAAGACACCGAACTGTAACAACAGATTTTTAATATTTTATCTGGTGAGAGCTGAAAATGTATGTGACTGGATTTTCTCTCAGTCTATGTTAAAAGCACATCCGATCACTTTAACTAAGATTTACAGGTCACTCTGAAGACAACATGAAGATACTAATCTTTTTACATTCACCCTCTTTTTTTACTAATAAGGCCTCAAAAGTGCACGGAGCTTGTTCACTGGACTCTTATAGTAATATCTTTGACAAGAAATGTATCGACTTCCGTGTCAGGAGCTGCTTCTGCTCACGTCTTGGTAACTAGCTGACACTATTTGAAACCAGAAGGCTGAGCTTTTATAATATCATTAAAAA